CTCTCTCTCTCTCTCTCTCTCTCTCTCTCTCTCTCTCTCTCTCTCTCTCTCTCTCTCTCTCTCTCTCTCTCTCTCTGTGTGTGTGTGTGTGACACGCACACACACTTCACAGGCAGTGTGTGCTGCCGCGGTTCAGTTGCTGCAGTGGCAGCGGAGTTTGCAGCCACGCTTCAGTTGCAGCAGTGGCAGCGGTGTGCGGCCACACCTCAGTTGGTAATGTCACAGCAGGGTGACCGCCCGGAATGAACGGGGTCCAACGGCAGCTTTGGCAGGGTCATGCAGTACCAGGCCGAATTTTCTTTCATCCATAGGGCTTCGGCGGCCCGAATTTTCTCGTGCGACGATCCGGTGTTGGCCCAGCGGTACCAAGTGGACGGCATGAATCATCACACGATCGCAATGATCCAGGCCGTTGGGCCGGTAGGACGGCGGACGGCCCGGATGTCAGATTTCTCACACTTGCGAGTTCCTCTAGTGTTTGGATGCTACCCTAGTTCCTCTAGTGTTTGGATGCTACCCTGAATACTATCAATTACAATCAGAACCAATTGTCACAATAGCTTTCGCGGCTTTTCTTCATTCGTTTTTCCTTTTTTTACCGTTTCCAATTTCCACACTGCACCGCCCAGCACTGCATGCTTGCTAGTTCAGTTTCAAACTTTCAATGATGATCAGCTTGCTGGCACTTTCAGTCAAATAGGCATATGGTCAAGCCTAGCTTGGATTGGCTCATAAAGTGAGGTGATACAGCATCATGATGTGTCAATACCATCCATTCAAAGGAGGAGAAAATGGAGGGGGCCGGGCACACACGCACACCGACGACACATTCTGCCATAGAACAAGGAAGAAGACGATTCCAACAAAAAATCGATATCTGGGAAAATGTAACACAGCCAATACTTACACGGCCGCTCGCTCAACGCTTGGGTATTGACCGAGCACCTCTACCCAAGACAGACTGTTTTCACAAAGCCGTTTCACCACTCCCACAACATCATTCACGCTGATCCTAACCTGGTTGCAGGAGTCCCTTTCCCTCAAGGTCACCGTATTGTCCTGGAGACTCTGAAAATCCACTGTAATGGCAAAGGGCACCCCAAGCTCGTCCGTTCTTGCATATCTCTTCCCGATGGTGTTCCCTGTCACATCAACCTTGTTTGATAGAGAAGTAGCCGTTAAACCAGCAGCGATGTTCATGGCCACCGTCTCCAGCTTCTTGTCCTGAACCAGGGGGAAGACCGTGCACTTGATTGGAGCCACAAGGGGCAAAAACTTGAAGAACGTGCGCTGTTCATCGTCCTTGCGCACTCCGAATGAGTGCTCGTACATACAATAGATGATTCGGCCAATGCCAAAAGAAGGTTCGATCACAGCTGGGACAATGTTCCTTCCCTTCTGAATTTTCTTTTCCTTGGCGATCCTCACCATAGAGCTCACCAGCTCGAACTGCTGGTTATTGGTGCAAAGCTTTATCACTGCCCTCCCTGCTGCATCCAATTTCAACTTCAAATCCATTGCTTCCTCCTCCTTCAACGACTGTAAAGCCAAAACAACGGACATCAACACAACGAATCCCATCAAATGAGCAGATGCACAAAACTTCAAGCTTGCAATGACTCGGCAACATCCAACCAGAGGAAGTTATCTGCCTGAAGAATTCGAAGAGCATGTCAAACGTTAGTGCAGATACCTGCTGAATGAAAACGCAGGAGAGAAATGGAGTTCATGGGAGCAAGGCAGGGGGAAATTATATAAACTTGGTTATGGGGAGGCTAAACTTGGTTATGGGGAGGCTTCTCAGTGGATAACGCAACCTTAGTGTGATCCGCTGACCTATAATCGCCATAGAACGTGAAGCGGTGGTTGCCCACGAAATGGACAGCAATTGAAACCGGAAGCAAAACCTGCCTATGCTGCGATGCTCGGTAGACTGCACCTAAAAGGCTTTCAAAAGGAGGATGAAGACAGGTAGTGAAGTGAGAGAAACACGAGGACAGAGAGCAGGTGTCGGCGCATCGAAGTGTGGAGAAGTGAGAAGTTAGTTGGAGTAGGGATCAGGAGACGGAGCGGAAAAGACCTCGTCTGACAGCATTCAACGTGCGACACGCTGACAGGAAAGGGCAGCAAAATTTTTACGTCCGATGGCCCAATGCAATCATCAGCAAAACATTATACATCAAGCATCTCAAAATCGTCAATCTTTATTCACATCGAACACCTCAAAATCGTGCATGTCACAGTCGGCACGACGTGGCAGGCACTCATGGCGTGGAAAGCTACAGACCAACCAGCCCCGTAAGACCAACATCGCACTGTCGAAACACACCAGCCAGCCAGGGCCACGTAGACAGCCTGCTTCTGGAAAGATTTACCTTGAATGGGGAAGAGAGGATGGACAGACGGGAGGAGGAGAAGCATGTACAAAGGGAAACATCAGGGTTCATGGAAGTAATTGATTGCACGAGTAGCAGGGGAAGGGGCACACCTCGAGGTAACTCTCCACGAGTTTCCCCTCCTTTTTGAACGCCTTGCCAATCTCCTTCTTGTTGGGAACCACGGACAGAACCTGTTTCAAAAATGCACCACACCCAGTACGTTTAACTACCAAGAACATGAAGAATCCAGCGGACAAAAATACCTCTTAGACAATGCAAATTCCCCTGGTTGTCTCAATCGAACCACAAAACACACTCGTCCTGTTCACTCGTTCACATTTGCAAGCACAAAATCATTGCGTCAACAGGTTATAATCAAGATTCATGGCAGTTTCATCTGCGTCGAACACACCCGACTGTATGACCAGGTCCATCTAGATTTGTGCGGCTGGAAATTATAATAAAGACCTATCACAGCTTCACTATACGACCAGGTCGCCGCCCCCATGTACACTAATCCGAACATGGAGCACAACCCTATCAATCAGCCTTTAACAATTGAGACTCGTTCATCTGTTGCATGGCATGACTGGCTCTCCCCGCCCATTCATTCACCTTACACCATGGTTGCGATCCGGCGTCCAGACCACAGCGCAGACGGTCTGGGTCTGGATGTTTGGGTCTGGTGTTCGGTATCCAGATCCATCCCCCCACCCGCACACCACACAAAAATCAAAAGAATCTGAAAAAAAGATTATGTTGTGCACCATTGAAATACAGAAACCTTTTGGCCGAGGACACCCTCTACATTTGTAGCCAAATCCAAGGAAAAGAAACAATAAAAACGTTTCTTAATAAAAAAAAGGTTTTTTTTTTTTAATCCGGACGGTCTGGAGCAGTCCAGTCACAAGTCCAGCCGGACATCTGGACTGGTCCGGTGTCCGAGCCCGGCATAACCATGCCTTACACCCATACCACAAAAACTGAACCAGTGTGAAAATCATTTGGCAATTTTGCAGTCCAACGAGTTGGGTTCGCGATATTACCTCTACTTCCCTTGGAGTATCAAACGGCTCATATACACTCAGATCTTTCTTACTCGCATCCTGGCAACACAAGTTACACAATGCCAATTTCAGATTTCGCAAATTCGAGATTTTCACAGAAATCATGTAAATTTTGAATTTTCACACAAATCTTAAACAGGAGCTATCCATACACCTATGACTGCCAGGAGACAGATACTTAACAGTGGATAACAGCTACAGTCATTGCATATTTGAAGAAGATTGCTACCAATACAGAAGGCCCTTCGAATACAACGCAATTGCTTCCAACATGCCAGCTTTTTGAAAAGAAACACAAAGCCTAAGCTCATCAGAGTTTTGCTTCTGCTTTAGGCAACAAAACAATTTTCTTGCTGGCTTTCCGACCTCCAACTCAGATTTCCACCGACGCTAAACGATAATTTTCATTCTCGACAGCAGCCCACATTACACATCCTGCACGAATATCATTTTGCTTTCATCCTTACGGAGTTCCTGCACAAATGCCTTTCACTTCAGACCACGTCACTTCGTACAATCCCGCACCATCTCCAGCTCACCCATCTCAGAGACTAACAAATAAAACATAACCGTATTACAGTTGTCTGCACCGGGACCCGTTTCACCTAAGGCTCACGCTCCAGGCTTCGCAGCAGGCCCCACGCCCTCCTACTCGTCACAGCGTCAGAATCGCCACGACGGCCGAGCATAGGTCGCACGCTTCAGCACCATCCATTCCATTTTCGGGGCTGATTGATTCGGCAGGTGAGTTGTTACACACTCCTCAGTGAATTTGGACTTCCACGACCACCGTCCTGCTGTCTGTATCAATCAACACCCTTTGTGGTGTCCGGGTTAGCCCGCAGTTCGCCACCGTAGCTCGACTTCGAGTTCATCCCGCATCGCCTGTTCTGCTTACCAAAAATGGCCCACTTGGAGCTTTCATTGATCCTCGAGCTTCGCTTAAGCAACCCCAAAATCTTACCGATTTAAATTTTGAGAGTACGTCGGTGTTTCACCCCCGATAGAACTGTTCAACAGCTCCAGCTATCCTAAGGGAAACTTCCGAGGACACCAGCTAATAGACCGTTCGATTAGTCTTTCACCCCTATACCCAAGTCCGACGAACGATTCACACGTCAGTATCACTGCGAGCCTCCACCAGAGTTTCCTCTGGCCTCCCCTGCTCCGGCATAGTTCACCATCTTTCGGGTCCAAACGGACATGCTCACAGTGCCTGCACGGTCGCTGATGGTCGGACGCACGTGCACAGTGGTGAGAGGGGCACTGCTGAGGCAGCGGGCGCACAGCAGCCATAGCCAGGCAGCTGGGGCGCAGGGCAGGTGATGGCAAAGGTGGGTGCCAGACAGTAAGTGCGACACTGGATACAGTGTTGGTGTGACCAGAGAGTGGCGACATTGACATTTGAGGTCATTGTATTGCTCTTATTTGGACGGTATCTTGGTGCATTGCACTCTCTGCTTGGTTCACGACTATCTCAGCTTCTTCATGATTTTGCAACTTGGGAGTTCTGTCTATCGCTCTCGGTCATATTCCTTGCAGTGCACAAGCCAGTAGCGTTGCCTTCTATTTCTTGGTGAATATCATTCTCTTCATTCACAAGATTTTCTGAAACACAAAGCCGGAGTCTTTAGAAACCTCCAGAGGTGGAGAAGGGAGAGATACAAAGCAGGAGACGCTCTTGCAGGTAAACGGCCTTCCAAGGGCCCTCCCTTTCTCTAAAATAAACTAGGTGCTCATTCTGCAGAATGAAGACTCCTTTCCACCCCATGTACACAACTTCTCCCTGCCTAATGCTAAACAGCACCACACATCCCCGCGAAGAAAACTAAGGCTACGACAAAACCAAGAAACCCAAAGCTATGCCTGGAAACCCACCAATGGACAATAGAAAAAAGGTACCAACAAGAGTCCTTTGGAGAAGCAGTACAGTACACAACTACCTTCTTCCCCCGAATACAACGTACGGTCATTATAGCTGTATGTAGACTGAAAGATCCTACGTTGTATTCAGTGGAAGAAGGTAGTAGAAAACTCCTGCTGGATATGCAGGATGAGGCTTGAAGGACCCAGCCTCGTCAGCCAGAGAAAAAAGCCGTCATTCAGGGGGAAGAGAGAAGAAATGAGGACATAGTTGAGATGAAGTGGAAACAAAAGCTGTGAGGCTGCAGGCCCCCGCAGCCTAAGTCTGCCACTGGAACTTGCCCCAGGCAGTGACTGAAGGTGGACCTGGAAAATTAGCACTCCCTGAGTGTAGTACATGACAGCTGGCAAGGGGATTATTGGGTCTGTGGAGAGCCGCCAGCCCCTGTAACGAACTCTGGTAGGCCCATCCTGCAAGTTAGGAACAGAGGCTATGTCCTGGACACAGTCCCGGTAGGCTGCAGGTAGTTCCTATTGGGTCTGGACATGGCATATTTACTCCAAGACAAAAGACCACAGGCCACCAGGCAAAGCACATTTAGGCAGGTTGCTGCAAGGCATAAGCGCCATTGGGCAGGGACCTGAAGGCAACGCCTGAACAAGGAGAGCAGCTGATGTGGCTGGTCCTCACTGCCGTCGGCTCACTGCCAGCCACAGCTAGGCACAGGGAACCTTAATGGTGTGTGGAGGTCAGAGAAGAAGAAAGGCAGAGGGGACCGGTGGTTCTTACCTAGTGTTGGCGAAGGAGGCCTGAATGAGCAAAATCTTCGAGCAGACTTGGCCGAGCGACAAGTGGACAGTGTGAGGCGGTAGAGGCTAGCATGAGTAGAGGTTGTAGAAAATAGATTTATGACGGTCAAGTGCGACTGCTACATTGTTGTTCCTTTCATGATTGGAAGCGGAAGTAAGTTGGGCTTTCTTCACCAAGAGACTTCAGCATTCTGCTTGCTCCGAATTGGTATGCATTCCGCTTTGGTATCCTACTGTCAACTCTGCTCAATCGTGTTCGGTTTCGGTTTTGTGTGAGATTTCCCAATCTGGAATATTGGTGTTCTCATTACGTGGTTCCTTGCACAGTAGGGGAAGAGCGAGTGAGCAAGCAACTGACCAAAGAATGGGAGAACAAGCAGGCAAGTGAGCGAGTGAGAGAGAGAGAGAGAAGGTCCGAGAAGCCTCTGCAGAAAATGTGCCAGCAAGCAAACAAAAAATAGGAGAACACGGAAGCAGGCAAGTGAGCAAGTCGGAGAGAGAGAAATGGTCGGAGAAGCCGTTCGCAGCAAATCTGCCAAAACCGCCAGCACAGGCCGCTTTCCCTTATATAACCGACCCTTTACCTCAAGTTAACAAAACAAAGACTAAAGTAAGGCACTTGTACAAGTTGTAACCCTACAGCAGTACCTGACTCGACTTCATTCTACCCTAGACGCCAGGTAGAGAGCACCGCAGAAAGGTCTGGCCAGAGCGGTTGGAGACACTACAATCGCTGGTCAGGATCAGCCTAAAGTGTAAAGGGTCGACCAGACTTGACATAGAATGACAAGTGGAGGGATTCCCAGGATTCCAAGAGGATTCCAAGAGGATTCCACGGCTTCTTATCTACAGGAAAACTGCTGTCATTATTCACAGCCAGTTTTCCAGACCTCCAAAAGAAATATCTTACCTGACAGTCACTGGGTGTCGCATGCACAGCTGCCCGACGCTCTTATGCATATTGTAATTTTTTCCTTCTGTTCCAGGTTTCGTCTGTTCTGGGATCGTCTCATTTTGCTGATATCCAAACAGGCACAAGTGGAGGTCCAGTCCGGACAAGTGGTAGATCTGATTCACACGTTTGGCCGTTCGAGCCCCTGACAGACTTTGTCCATATTAGGACAACTTTCTTGTCCTGTAGTGCTGGACTACAGCCTAGGCAGTCCAAGATATACCTGCTACTACGGCAGAGGTCCAACGGTCCAGTTAGGACCCACACCACATCCTTAGGCCCGGACATCAGAACCAGGTTTGTGGATACTCTCCAGGGCCATCGGATGAAACACGATCCAACAGTCTGGGACAGCTAGACGGTAGTGTAGGTAGCAGCCCAGCAGTACTACACCTGGACTCACAAGTTGGCTTGGGGGCTGGAGAAGCTGGCTCATTAAGCACCAGGCTGTTGAAGACCGGCGCTGCAGAGTTGGTAAAGGGTGGAAGTCCACAGCAGGATCGGTTGAGGAGGGCTCACCTTCGCATCGTAGCTAGGGGACTTCAAGCAACAGCCGGGATTCACTCTGAGAGGTGCAGAGTCTCAAGCCAGCACCTTTCAGAGGGATAGAACTTTCAGAGCTTTCAGAGCTCAGCGCATCCCATCAAACCGAATCGCATCAAAAAAAAAACACTCGCATCCCAATGAATTGAATTTGATTCGAAATTGATCGAATTGAACCAGTTGAAATCACTTCGACTTTCCGACAATCGAATGAATTTGATGTAACTGGAAACACAACTGATCTGTTTATCCACTTGATCAAACTGATCGGCTCAGCTCGTCCAAGTGATCTGCTCGTCCAATTAATTAAATTGGATCTGCTCGTCCAGGGGTTCCCTCAAAGCAGTGTTCCCGAACCTTCTTTTTGGCCACCTACCGAACCCCTTCGCTTTGCCTGAAGAGAGCTTGTGCGAGTTGAGAGATCCCATGCAATGTTCTTTCAATGTGGGGGACCAGTACTTTTTGTCCCCTTCATTTTTTTCCCCTTCATTTTTCGTGGTTGTTACTCTTTTTCTTTCCCTTCATTTTTCGTTTTCTTTTTCCTTCTTTTTTCTTTCTGTCCTTCATCATTTCTCTTTTTCCCATCGGACGGCCGCAACTGCCAGAAGAGCTTTCCACAGCCCAGGATGGCCGGAAGATGATCTTCTCCGTATCGTTCCACGATCGACAGGAAAATACTGATTGTCAATTTACCAGTGTCATCCTTGCAAAGGGCTATGCTAATCATTCTCTTTGTGCACTCTTCGAAATCAGTGAAGCAAGCCCCCAGGCAAATGCGTAGGACGAGGGGTCTCACTTCATGATTTGCCACATGGGCAAAAGATGTGAGTTATGCCTCTACATCCTCCTTTTCTTTTCCTGCTCATTGAAC